AATTCCAGCCTGACTCTGGTGTAGGATTACATGACAGATAGGAGACCCTGGAAGAAATCGAAGTACTTTACCCCACATTAAATTTCTTCGACGTATTGAAGAATACGTATTGAAATAGCCCTGCAAAGCTATCCCTTGTGAGGAAAATCTACATTCTGTAGAGAATCCCTGCTCCTTTCCAGGTCTTTTTCCTGCTTCAGGAGAGAACGCTAATAAGAAGCACTTACAATCTATTCTCTCTGAAGCCTGCTACCTGGAGACTTCCTCTGCTTAACGGAAATCTTGGTCTCCACAAGCCCCTATCTTAACCTAGAAACTCCCTTCTGTTGATTCTAGGTCTTTAGATGTAACTTAACCTTTTCAATCAATTGCCAGTCAGAAAGTCTTTGAATCTACCTATGACCTGGAAGCCCCCCTACTACAAGTTGCGTCACCTTTCTGAACCGAACCAATATACGTCTACATGTATTGACTGATGTCTTACGTCTTCTGAAAATATATAAAGCCAAGCTGTAACCTAACCATGTACATTTTCTTAGGATCTCCTAAGGGCTATGTCACTGGCCATTGGTCACTCATATTTGGCTCAGAATCTCTTAAAATATTTTACAGTTTGCCTTTTTTTGTCAACATAGGAAATCCTACAGGGAAATGACCTGATTTTTTAATAATATATACAAGGAGAAGGAGAGAAGGATATGGATAGAACCTACAAATTTAAAAAATGACAACAACTTTAAAATCAGGAACTCTGCAACTTTTTTTGGGGGGGACAAAGTCTCACTCTGTTGCCCAGGCTGGAGTGCAGTGGCACCATCTCAGCTCACTGCAGCCTCCGCCTCCCAGGTTCAAGCAATTCTCCTGCCGCAGCCTCCCAAGTAGCTGGGACTATAGGCACGCATCACCACGTCCAGCTAATTTTTTTATTTTTAGTAGAAACAGGCTTTTGCCATGCTGGCCATGCTGGTCTTGAATGTCTGACTTCAGATGATCCGCCTGCCTTGGCCACCCAAAGTGCTGGGATTACAGGCATGAGCCATTGCGCCCAGCTTGAACTCTGCCACTTCTAAGTAGGCCTCAAGTTATGTCAAAATCAAGTTTTTATTTTTAAAGAGAGATTTTTCAATGTCTTCCATAAGTTCATAGAAAAAGAGACTTAAGAAACATATGAATCAATTGTAATATAGAGTAATAGAACATACTAGACCTTATGTAGATCCTGATTTAAACAAACTGTAAAAAAAATTGTGAGAAAATGGGGAAAACTGGACATTGGCTATTTGATTTAAAAAAAATTAGGTGATTGTAATTTGTTCTTTTTTTTTTTTTTACTTTTTTTTTGAGACAGAGTCTTGCCTTGTTGCCCAGGCTGGAGTGCAGTGGTGCGATCTCAGCTCACTGCAACCTCTGCCTCCCAGGTTCAAGCAATTCTGCCTCAGTCTCCTGAGCAGCTGGGACTACAGGTGCGCGCCACCACGTCTGGCTAATTTTTTGTATTTTATTAGAGATGGGTTTTCACCGTGTTGTCCAGGCTGGTCACGAACTCCTAAGCTCAGGCAGTCCTCCCACCTTGGCCTCCGAAAGTGCTGGGTTTACAGGCATGAGCCTCTGCACCAGGCCATAATTTGTTCTTTCAACCATATTACAGTTATGTTTTTATATTTATTTACTTATTTATATTTTAGAGATGGAGTTTTGCTCTTGTTTCCCAGGCTGGAGTGCAATGACATGGTCTTGGCTCACTGCAACCTCCGCCTCCCGGATTCAACTGATTCTCCTGCCTCAGCCTCCCAAGTAGCTGGGATTACAGGCACCCACCACCACACGCAGCTAATTTTTGTATTTTTAGTAGAGATGGGGTTTCATCATGTTGGCCAGGCTGGTCTCAAACAAACCTGACCTCAGGCAATCCACCCACCTCAGCCTCCCAAAGTGTTGGAATTACGGGCGTGAGCCACCACACCTGACCAGTTATGTTTTTAAAACATTAACCAAAAAGCTATACAAATGACAACCTAAAATTATCCTTTTATTTAAGCTGAAGTTGAGGGGAGATGTTTTCTGAGAGATGTTGACATGAATTTGAGTAATCTAGAGGGTTGAGACTTCCTGAATTTCACTGATGCATTTGTAAAAATCTATACAAACTGAAAACTATAAATAAGAATTTTTTTTTTTTTTTGAGATGAAGTCTCATTCCGTCACCCAGGCTGGAGTCCAGTGGCATGATCTTGGCTCACTGCAACCTCCACCTCCTGGGTTCAAGCGATTCTCCTGCCTCAGCCTCCCAAGTAGCTGCGATTACAGGCACCCACCACCATAGCTGGCTAATTTTTTTTTTTTTTTTTTTGAGATGGAGTCTAGTAGAGACAAAGTTTCACCGTGTTAGCCAGGATGGTCTCGATCTCTTGACCTTGTGATCCGCCCACCTCGGCTTCCCAAAGTGCTGGGCTTACAGGCATGAGCCACCGTGCCCAGTCCATTATTGTATTTTTTTTTTTTTTTTTTTGAGACGGAGTCTCGCTCTGTCACCCGGGCTGGAGTGCAGTGGCCGGATCTCAGCTCACTGCAAGCTCCACCTCCCGGGTTTAGGCCATTCTCCTGCCTCAGCCTCCCGAGTAGCTGGGACTACAGGCGCCCACCACCTCACCCGGCTAGTTTTTTGTATTTTTTAGTAGAGACAGGGTTTCACCGGGTTAGCCAGGATGGTCTCGATCTCCTGACCTCGTGATCCGCCTGTCTCGGCCTCCCAAAGTGCTGGGATTACAGGCTTGAGCCACTGCTCCCGGCCAATTTTTGTATTTTTAGTAGAGATGGGGTTTCACCATGTTGGCCAGACTGGTGTCAAACTCCTGACCTCAACTGATGCACCTGCCTCGGTCTCCCAAAGTGCTGGGATTACAGTCGTGAGCCACTGTGCCCGGCCTCAACATTGAAGTGTCAACTTGAAACTACCTTTGCAGAGATTAAGGCAGTGAGAGAGGCTGGGTGCAGTCGCTCACACCTGTAATCCCAGCACTTTGGGAGGCTGAGGTGGATCACTTGGGCCCAGGAATTCAAGAACAGCCGGGGCAACATGGGGAGACCCTGTATCTACAAAAAGCTTAAAACTTAGCCATGCATGGTGGTACGAGCTGTAGTCCCAGCTACCCAGCAGGGCTGAGGTGGTAACATTACTTGAGCCAAAGAGGTTGAGGCTGCAGTGAGCTGTGATCACACCACTGCTCTCCAGCCTGAGTGACAGAGTGAGACCCTGTCTCAAAAAAAAAAAAAAAGAGAAATTTCACATAGTTAATTCCATCTTCCTTCTGACATCCAAGCTGTCCTTGGTTATTCCTGGGCATAAGCCAAGCTAATTTCAGGAGCTTTGGGAGGAATTTATGGTTTAACTTTGAAGCAAGGATGATAATAGTCCCTTCCTAAAACTATCACGTCCCTATTCTGGGGCTGAAACTGCCTTTGTAAAGCTAATGAAAGGCCACAAGTTTAGGATTGTGGAAGGGGCCTGAACTCTGCTAAAATGTAGGCCTGGTTTCTACAATCCCTTACTGCTCAGGATTCATGTAGCCAGAGGTCACAAGATTTGCAACTTCCCGAATTGCACCTATAGATAATATCAGTATTGCAGAACCTAAGATTGGCTTTTTGAGATGTTTTTCAGAGTGAACCCACCCCAACCTGTGACTCAGGACTCAACTGGTTCCTGTGGCCCCACCCTGAGGCAGACTCAGTGCTTGAGGACCATTTTCCACACACTTTTATGATTTCATCCCCAGTCAGTCAGCAGCACCCATTCCCTAGTCCCCTGCCCACCAAATTGTCCATAAAAAACCCTAACCGCTGAGCCTTTGGAGAGACTGATTTGAGTAATAACTCTGTCTCCTGTGTGGCCTGCCAGGTGTCAATTAAATTCTTTTCCTGTCGTGCTGCAATCTTGATGAATTGACTTTTTGTCTGTACAGCGGGCAGGAAGAACCTGACGGTCAATGACAAGCTGAAGAATGATGAGATTCATACATTCGGAAAGGAGAGCTTTATTTCTCATAAAGGATTTCAGCCTGCAGGGTGGCCATTTTGACAGGCAGGGAAGCACTGCCTCTGGCCAGAAGCCAGAAACAGACACTTCCAGGGAGGGGCAAAAGGAACAGGAATCTTTGCAGAGTAGTGTGTAAATATACATATTTAGCAAGCTACAGGAGGCGTCATGAATATTTTTGAAGAGAGAAACATACACAACCACAGTGAAGCTTCAGGCCCCTTCATGAGGGTCATGTCATCTGGCCAGAAGCACTCCATGGTTAGTGTGATCTCTTATCAGTAAGGAATACTGGTCAATTGCTCTGGAACTGCAAATGGGAGGGTTATCAGCGGTGGAGTCTTTCGAAAGGGCTGGTTTCTGTCAAGCTCTTAGCAAAGAAAACCTAATGGTCGTCAGCCAAGGGCCGCCCGTAATAACAGGTGTCTCACCTCCCATCTGTCATGGCTGAGAACTATCTTCAAGGTAACTCTGGGATCTCCTTAGCCAGTAGGGGGTTCGTGCAGTCAGTTGGGGGTCTTTGGATTTCATTTTCACTTCTCAGAGGACAGGAAGAAAGGCTCTAACATGGGGAATCCTGAGAACTGCCGGTGTCTGTTAAATATGACTACAAGTTATTTTTCTTATGTCACACTCTTCCAGACATGTTCTTATTTCTCATTTCTGATTTCTGTAATACACATACACTGATTTCATAAAATGTTTATAATTAGCAGAGGAGTCCAACACTACCATTAAGCCATTTTGCTTAACTGAAATCCATTTCTTGGAGGAGTAAGTGTTATTCTTTACTTTGTAAACTGTAAGGGTCCAAACCAATGTACTTGGTAAAATTATCCACCATGAACGCACGCAAATGTCAAAAGGCCATCATTTAGCATCTGCCCTCGTGCTTCCGGGTCCGTCACGTGGTTACTGCCAGGCAGGCCGCGCATGCGCGCTGCTACTCCGCCGGGCCTACGTGACACGGAGTGAAGCGGTGATGGCGGCGGACGAGACCTGTGCCCCCGGCTCGCCCCGTCGGGAGCCACGAGTAAGGCGAGTGTCCGATGCCAAGCTGGCTGAGCGAGCCCGGCCGCGGCCTCCAGGCCCCGTGACCACCGGACCGAGCACCCTGGAACGGCCACGGCTTGGCCTCAGGACAGTCCGCGAGCTCACCGACTCCCTGGTGAACGCCGCTTGGCCGCCACCGCCGACGCAGGACCCGCGAGAAGCGGAAACCGGCGCTAGAACCCGGTCCCCGCGGCGCCGTACGTGGAGTGAAGCTGCGCTCCGCCCCGCGCGCTCCGATTGGCTCTGGGGCCTGGCCCGCCCCTTCTCGACACTGTCATTGGCCTAGACAAAGCCGTAGGGGTGGGGAATCCTATTGGCCCAGGGGTGCGGCTTGTCCTCTCCGGATGCTCTCATTGGCCGAGTGCGGCCGTGGGGGGTGAGGCCGCGTCGGGGCAGGACAACAAAGGGCCGCGGGCGGCGGGCGGCGGTGTCCCAGTCTCCCGGTGCTTCCCTCAGGCCGAGGCGCCCGGCCTCCCGCCCGCAGCGCTCCAGATGAAGTGTGAGCACTGCACGCGCAAGGTGAGCGCCGCGGGCCCGGGAGGCGCGCGCCCGGTGCCTGTCCCGTGGGGCTCTCTCTGGGCGGCGGAGGTTGGCGGCCCGGGCCCGCCGCTTGCTCGCCTCAGGGCTCTTCAGGGCTTCCCCGGCCTCAGCACCCTGGGCCCGCCCGGCGTGGAGGCGGCCGGCGCGGGGTCCGCTGCGCTGTGGGGCGGGCTCGGTCTTAGCGGTTCTCCCTGAACTTGTCCATCTTTCCCACGCCCGCGAAGCGCGGAAACGAACGGAGACCGAGCCTCTCATGCCGCGCGGCACAGTCCGAGTAAACGCCGGTCGTGGCGGGAATGATCAGAAGCGTTCCGAGGGGTTTTTAGGCGTTTTCGAACCTGTCCCGCTGAGGGTCACCGAGCAGCCGGTGCAGGGGCGGAAGCAGTGACGGCTGCTGACCGGCGCCTTCCGCGCTTGTCTCCAGGCCGTGGCAACCACCGCGCAGCGCACGCAGTGGGGTTTGTAGCTGTTTTTGCCGAAATGGGCTCCCGTGGATGCTGCTCTGTGGCTGGCTCTTCTGTGCGTGACACCGTGGCAGGAGGCTTCCGAGCGTTCAATGGGTCGTTCATCCCCGGTGGTGGCTGCGTCGTATTCTAAGGACACCTGCGTCCAGGGGAATTCACCTATTTAGGGGAGGCTATTGTTGCTTCTGCTTTTTTATTATTGCAGACAATAGAGATGTGTGTGTGATCTTAAGTACGTGCGCTTTTGTTTCACTAGAAAGGATAGAAGGCCGGGAAAGGATAGAAGGCCAGGCGCGGTGGCTCACGCCTGTTATCCCAGCATCTTGGGAGGGGAGGCCTCGGCGGGTGGATCACCTGAGGTCAGGAGTTCGAGACCAGCCTGGCCAACATGGTGAAACCCCCTCTCTACTAAAAATACAAAAATTAGCCAGGTGTGGCAGTGCACGCCTGTAATCCCAGCACTTCGGGAGGCCGAGGCAGGTGGATTACCTGAGGTCAGCAGTTCAAAACCATCCTGACCAACATGGCAAAACTCGGTCTGTACTAAAAATACAAAATTATCCGGGCGTGATGGTGCATACCTATAATGCCAGCTACTCGGGAGGCTGAGGCAGGAGGATCGTTTCAACCCGGGAGGAAGAGACTGCAGTGAGCCGAGATTGTGCCCCTGCACTCCAGCCTGGGTGAGAGTGAGACTCTGTCTAAAAAATAAATTAATTAATTTAAAAGAAGATAGAAATACATGAGCTTCATTGGTCAGAGTATGCACATTTTCTTAATGGAGACGAATTAAAAGTTCATTAATAATGTTCCTTTGCTTTTTTAAGGAATGTAGTAAGAAAACAAAAACTGATGACCAAGAGAATGTGTCAGCCGATGCACCGAGTCCAGCCCAGGAAAATGGAGAGGCAAGTAGATTTTTCAGTTTTATATCAACCCAGAGTAAAATGCTGCTGCTGTTTTTCTCTTTGGGGGCTCACAGCACCATGCACATCACTGCTTTAGAGAAGACTGAAGTACGGCCGGGCGTAGTGGCTCACGCCTGTAATCCCAGCACTTTGGGAGGCCGAAGTGGGTGGATCACTTGAGGTTAGGAGTTTGAGACCAGCCTGGCCAACATGGTGAAACCTTATCTCTGCTAAAAATACAAAAATTATCCAGGTATGGTGGTGCACATCTGTAATCTCAGCCACTCAGGAGGCCGAGGCAGGAGAATCGCTTGACCCTGGGAGACAGAGTTTGCAGTGAGCTGAGACTGCACCATTGTACTCGAGCCTGGGCAACAGAGGGAGACTCTGTCCCCAAAAAAAAGACTGAAATAGGCTGAGCGTGGTGGCTCACGCCTGTAATCCCAGAACTTTGGGAAGCTGAGACAGGCGGATCATCAGGTCAGGAGATTGAGACCATCCTGGCTAACACAGTGAAACCTCATCTCTACTAAAAATACAAAAAATTAGCCAGGCGTGGTGGTTGGCACTTGTAGTCCCAGCTACTCGGGAGGCTGAGGCAGAAGAATGGCGTGAACCTGGGCGGTGGAGCTTGCAGTGAGCCGAGATCGTGCCACTGCATTCCAGCCCAGGTGACAGAGCGAGACTCCGTCTCCAAGACTGAAATAAACTTGAAGGGGCTAATAAAGACATGTGTGAGACAGTCCATCGGTGGCACAAGGCCTGTCTTCTCAGAACACACCCATGCCAAAACACACTGCATTGGGAACAAAGAAAACGTGGTGTAATATTGGATTTCTTCTTTGAATTTTTTTTTTTCCCCTTTTGAGACAGGGTCTCACTGTCACCCAGGCTGGAGTGCAGTGGCTCACTGTATGGCTCACTGCAGCCTCGACCTCCGAGGCTCAAGTGATTCTCCTGCCTCAGCCTCCCTAGTAGCTGGGACTGCTGGTATGCACCACCGTGCCCAGCTAATTTATTTTTTATTTTAATTTTTTTGTAGCGCGGTGGCTCAAGCCTGTAATCCCAGCACTTTGGGAGGCCGAGGCGGGTGGATCACGAGGTCAGGAGATCGAGACCATCCTGGCTAACATGGTGAAACCCTGTCTCTACTAAAAATACAAAAAACTAGCCGGGCGCGGTGGCGGGCGCCTGTAGTCCCAGCTACTCGGAGGCTGAGGCGGGAGAATGGCGTGAACCCGGGAGGCGGAGCTTGCAGTGAGCCGAGATCGCGCCACTGCACTCCAGCCTGGGTGACAGAGTGAGACTCCGTCTCAAAAAAAAAAAAAAAAAAATTTTTTTGTAGAGATGGAGTTCCATTATGTTGCCCAGGCTGGTCTTGAACTCCTGGGCTCAAGTGATCCTCCTGCCTCAGCCTCCCAAATTGCTGGGATTATAGGCATGAGCTACTATACTCAGTCCCAGCTGAATATTTTTTAATAGTAAGCTCCATTCTATAAAATGAGTATTGAGATAGGTAATTTATAAAATAACTCAAATTTCATGATTCTATAGTTAATTTTTTTTAATGGTTTCCTTTTTTTTTCTTTCTTTTTTTTTTGAGACAGAGTCTGCCTCCTGTTGCCCAGGCTGGATTGCAGCGGTGCGATCTTGGTTCACTGCAACCTTCGCCTCCCAGGTTAAAGAGATTTTCCTGCCTTAGCCTCCCAAGTAGCTGGGATTCCAGGCGTGCACCACCACGCCCAGCTAATTTTTTGTATTTAGTAGAGACGGGGTGAAACCATGTTGGTCAGGCTGTTCTCAAACTCCTGACCTCAGGTGATCCACGTGCCTCGGCCTCCCAAAGTGCTGGGATTAGAGGCATGAGCCACTGCACCTGGCCTCTTTTCTAATTCAGTTCTTGTTTTTAAATTATTCTTAGCTAGTAGCGATGGTTTCTGTTTATTGGATACATACCCTGAGCCTGGCTCTCAAGAATGTGATTTTATGGCCAGGCATGTTGGCTCACATCTGTAATCCCAACACTTTGGGAGGCCGAGACGGGTGGATCACCTGAGGTCGGGAGTTCAAGATCAGCCTGACCAACATGGATAAACCCCATCTCTACTAAAAGTACAAAATTAGCTGGGCGTAGTGTGCATGCCTGTAATTCCAGCTACTCAGGAGCCTGAGGCAAGAGAATCCCTTGAACCCAGGAGGCAGAGTTTGCAGTGAGCGGAGATCACACCACTGCACTCCAGCCTGGGTGACAGAGTGAGACTCCGTCTCAAAAAAAAGAATGTCATTTTACATACAGTCTCATTTCATGCTCAGAAGAAGCATTACCTGTAAGCCTGGCCATTATCCCTGTTTTACTGAGTGAAAGATGTTGGGAGAGGTTGAGGTCATTCTACCCTTAGAAAGTACTGGTACCAATTTATAAATGGAGAGTTGGCAATATGGCAGAAGCATATTTTTTCCTTAAGTTTAATAGTCCTGATACGTTTAATCTGAGAGGTTTTTTGGTTGCCCTGTGTGCTGTGGGGACTGTGGGGCTTAGGGAGCAACAGGGCCTGAGACAAGCACTCAAAGAGCTGGCCACAGGCAGAAGAGAGGTAGGGTGCATTGGAGTCCTGGAGGCAGCTGGGGCCAGTGCGCTTAAATGGCCGGCCCCAGGGGCCTCCGTCGCCTGCCCTCTGGTTGTGACATCTTGGACAGATATCTAAGCCCTGTGAGTCTCATTTCCTTATCAGAGGCCTGGGGAGTAGGGTTACTTCCCTCCCAGGACTGTGGTGAGGATGAGATAACGTGTGTACACAGCCTAAGCGGGCGCTCTTCCAGGTCAGTGATAGACACAGGGTGAGAGGAGTTGGGTTAGGGTTAGTGGAGTGGACCCTGAAGAGTGGTCAGAATTCAGGGTGGGAGTCTAGGGAAGGGCACTGGCACCAGGCAAGAGGAGGGTGTGGACAGACATGCTCTAGGGAGAGACAGTGGCTCCCCTTGGCCAGGTCAGTGACAGTGCAGAGCTGTGGAGACTGTGAGGGGATGACTCAGGTGTTTGTTTTAGGGCAGGTGATGGAGGTAACCGACTTAAGCTGGCTAGAGTAGGGGGAAGAATTGCAGGGAGCCACTTGGGTGGTAGCTTTGAGAGCCTAGGCAGAGGTGGTGGGCCTGGGCAAGTCTGCCAGAGTGGTAAAGACAGAACAGAGGACATAGTGCAGGGAAGAGAGTGCAGTTTTAGCTCCACAGACACTGGGCCTTCTACAGTGTGTGATTCTGGGGTTTGGTGAGGAGAGCACTCTGCTGGAAGTGCAGGTGGCAGGGCTGCCCTGGGCAGAGTGAGGCCGGCAGGCCTGATAAAAGGGAACAGGGCTTCTGCAGAATGCAGGAGCGTGGAAGGCAGCAGGAATAAGAAGAAAGAATGTGACAAATGAGGAGGGAATAAGACCTGGACCATGAAACCTTATGGAAGGACTGAGTTATACACAACGTGTCTGGTGGCAAGGCAGGGAGGAGGCACTGCTGGGTGAGGGGTGCAGTTTGGTCATGGGCACCTCGATCTGGATGGGCTGTGGAGGCAGAATTCATGCAGCTGTGGGCACCAGACGTTTGGAGTGGAGCAGTAGCTTCAACCCACTTGGAACTTCTTAGAAGCACAAACTCTTGAGCCCCATGTGGACCTCCTGAGTGCCCATCTGCCCTGAGTGCCCATCTGCCCTGAGTGCCCATCTGCAGCAGAACAAGATCCCAGGGGGAGTGGGCTGCACAGAGACATGGGGTCGTGCATAGACAGGAGGCAGAGGTGACACCTGAGCTGCCGTTCACAGCACACTATGGAAGGAGGGGGACATCCACAGCTGCCTCCTGTCAGATCATGTTTTAAAGAAAAACAAATGCATGGACTACCTGAGGAGCTTCTGTAATTTATTGACATTGCTCCTGTAAGCGTCAGAGTATTCATGTGTTCATCCACCAGTTATTTATTGAGCATTATCTGTGTGCAGTACCTCTTGGAGGTGCTGGGGAACAGGAGAACAGACAGTGTTCGAGCTTTCATGGGCTTACATTTTAGCGAGGAGGGACAGACTCCTGCCAGCAGTCAGCAACATGAGTACAGATGGGTCGGGAGGGAAGAGACGAGTGAGGGAGTGCGCTGTTTTAGCAGGTGTTGGACATCCTCTCTGCTGAAGGCCACCCAGGGTGAGCCTGGGACTCTTAGAGGTCGCTTCATGCAGAGGGATGGTGAGAGCAGCAAGGGCCAGTGGGGCGGGACGTGTGGAGACCAAGAGGGCTGTGATGGGACCCAGGCAGACAGGGGCCACTGGCTTTGCTCAGGCCCTCTGTGTGAGGGGCAGCTGTCTGAGCAGAGCAGAGGTGTAGTTTATGTTTTAGCAGATGTTGGGGGACACAAGGGCCAATCAGGAAGGAGAGGCTGGAAGGGATCAAAGAGTGACTCTACATCCAGGTCAGGATGAGCATCTTGTTACATGTCCAAGTGCAAACCCAGAGCCAGCACTGAGTTGTAAAGTTCTGAGCCTTGAGGGAGAGGCCAGGGCTGTGGGTGGCCTCAGGGAGCTGTGGGATGGTAAGCTTAGGGAGCACAGAGCTAGAGGAGCAGTCAGAGGGCTGGATCACAGGCACCAAAGAGGAAGGGGTCTAGGAGGAGGGAAGGGCCAGTGGGGTCAGCTTCCAGAACACAGGGGTCATTTACTTCCTACCACATGATGGTGCTAGGGCTGGGTTCCACCTTTGTCATCTGCATGGTTCCCTAGTGTCATCGTGGGCTGGGCCCTGTGTCCTGTGTCCCTCTACCACCTTGAGCTGCTCAGTGGCAGAGACTGTCCTGCTTCTAACCCCTTGAGCACCAGGCCTGGACCCTGGTATTGTCTCCGGTGTTTACTGTGAATTCGTATATGGGTATTACCCTCCCTAAAAAAGCACATTAAAGAGTATTTGTTGAATAAGCATGCTGAAACGTTACCTTCCTTTCATAGAAGGGAGAATTCCACAAGCTGGCTGATGCCAGGATATTTTTGAGTGACTGCCTGGCATGTGACAGCTGCGTGACTGCAGAGGAAGGAGTCCAGCTTTCCCAGCAAAATGCCAAGGACTTCTTCCGTGTTCTGAACCTTAACAAGGTAAGGCATTCAGGGCATTTGCTGATGCTGGGGAGCCGGCCTGGAGGTCGAGGGGAGTCCTGGCTTCCTGTACAGAAGCCTCTGCTGGGACAGCCGATGCACATCTCAGCCTTTTCCCGGTGTTGCTAACGTCCCGCTTTGACCTTGTTCCAATCCTCTCCATCAAGAGCAAAATCCCTGCACAATTTCATGCTCCCTTAATGATGCTCAGGCAGTAGTGGGGGGCTGGCACCACCCCTCAGGTTCCTGTGGCTTAAGCAGGGCCTCTGCCTGGTGAGGTCTGGTAACACGGGTGTTGGTGATCATGCGGGCAGCACAGAGCCGGAGCTCCTGCTGTTCTGCCTCTGCTGCACGTTTTCGGACACGAGAGTTATGTTCTAATAGACCGATCAGCTTGGGGCAAGGCAGAGACACTCCAAGGAAGTAAAAATTCCCACAGCTCCTTCCTTCAGCTCGTCCCTGCAGACCTCCTATACAGAACTAGAGGTGCCACTTGTCTTTCCGTGGGATAGGTTGTATTAGTCCGTTCTCACATTGCTGCAAAGAACTACCTGACACTGGGTAATTTATAAAGCAGAGAGGTTTAATTGACTCACAGTTCCACAGGCTCTACAGGAGACATGGCTGGGGAGGCCTCAGGAAACGATCATGGCAGAAGGGCGAAGGGGAAGCAAGCATGTCTTCACGTGGCAGCAGGAGCGAGCAACTGAAGGGGGAGGTACTCCACCCTTGTAAGCAACCAGATCTTGTGAGGACTCACTATCACGAGAAGAGCAAGTGGGAGATCTGCCCCCATGACCCAGTCACCTCCCGCCAGGCCCAGCCTTCAGTTTCACATGAGATTTGGGTGGGGACACAGGGCCAAACCATATCACAGGTGAAAGAGAAAGAGACAAAGGCAGATGAGGTTGAAAAGCACTTCTTGGTCTCCATGCTGTCACCTCCAAAGGAAGCATCGGCATCTTACCCCGCCCAGGGTGTAGGAGCCCATTCACAGTAGGTAGTGTGCTAGAGCAAGGTAGGGGCCTCAAGAAACACTGACTCGCTTAAGTGTGGTGGCATAGGGGACAGCCAAGGAGCCTTCTCACGTTTGCCATTTACCCCCATGGCATCTTCTGGACAAGTCATCCAGCATCGATTAGATCACAATATTTTTCTTTTTGAGACAGGGTCTCACCCAGGCTGGAGGGCAGTGGTGCAGTTTTGGCTCAGTGGGAAGACTCAGGTGATCCTCCCACCTCCGGAGGCTCCCTGTAGCCTCCAGAGCAGCTGGGACCACAGATGCGTGCTATCACACCTGCCGAATTTTTGTATTATTTATAGAGATGGGGTTTTGCCATGTTGCCTAGACTGGTCCTGAACTCCTGTGCTCAAGCAATCCTCCTGCCTCAGCCTCCCAAAGTGCTGGGATTACAGGCGTCGACCACCATGCATGACCTAGATCACACATGCAGATAGAGACACATGTCCTTTGTGTTGCCCGCATTCGTCGTGTCTGGGTGCACGCTGACTTACATGCAGTTGCACGGGAGCTCCATTAGCAAGCAGCAGGCTGCCTGGTTAGGATGGTCTGAACCAGGAGATGCCACCCCCATCAGCCAGGTTCGCCATGCATACCCGTCCCCACCTGCTCACCCTTGGCCTTTCAGGGAACAGAATGGCTTCAGCCATTTTGTTATGTCGTACAGACTTAGTGGATGCAGCTTTGCAGACTACTAGAGACTTAATTCTGTGGTATCAACGGTTTTTGCAAAAACACTCTTGAAAGTGTCTGTGTCACTTTATACTTCCCTAAGTGATATGGGCAAACAGCTGTGTGCAGCCATCCTGGTCACATTCAATATCAAATTCAGTTTTTTCCAACCTGATGCATAGAAAATTGTATCTCATTTGCATTTTCCTGCTTATTTAGAGAAGTTGGTTGCCGCAGATTATGTTTATTGACAGTTTATATTTTATCTTATGCTGCTTGTCCAGTCTACAACTTATATTTTAGTACAGTGTGAGATGTGGATACATTCTTTCTCTGTTTTTTTCTTTTTTGAGATGGAGTCTCACTGTCTTCCAGGCTGGGGTGCAGTGGTGTGATCTCAGCTTACTGCAACCTCTCCTTCCTGGATTCAAGCAATTCTCCTACCTCAGCCTCTCAAGTAGCTGGGATTAAAGGCATGTGCCACCATGCCCAGCTAATTTTTGTATTTTTAATAGAGACAGGGTTTCATCATGTTGGCCAGGCTGGTCTCAAACTCCTGACCTCAAGTGATCTGCTCGCCCTGGCCTCCCAAAGTTCTGGGATTACAGGCGTGAGCCACCATGCCCAGCCAGATACATTCTTTTCTATTCGAAAAAGTCAAATTGTTCCAGCATCTTCTCTTCTTCCCCCGTTGACCTGAAATATCCTGTCTCTCTCATATATTGATAGATGTGCGTCCATTTCTTTTTTTTGGCCTTCACCATGTTGGCCAGGCTGGTCTTGAATTGCTGGCCTCAAGTGATCCACCTGCCTTGGCCTCCCAAAGTGCTGGTATTACAGGTATGAGCCACTGTACCTGGCCTTCTTTTTTTTTTTCTCCCTTTACTTCCACCCCACCCTCCTGCTGCGTGTCTATTTCTTTATTCTTTTTTGAGATGGAGTCTCGCTCTGTCGCCCAGGCTTGAGCGCAGTGGTGCGATCTTGGCTGACTGCAACCTCTACCTCCTGGGTTCAAGCAGTTCTCCTGCCTCAGGCCCCTGAGTAGCTGGGATTACAGGTGCACACCACCATGTCTGGCTAGTTTTTGTATTTTTAGTAGAGATGGGGTTTCTCCCTGTTGGCCAGGCTGGTCTCGAGCTCCTGACCTCAGGCCATCCACTGGCCTCAGCCTGCCAAAGTGCTGGGATTACAGGCATGAGCCACCACACCCGGACCTTGACTCTTTTTATCTGAATCTGTCTTCTATTGCACTGCCAATGTCTAGTTTTGGTTTAAGGATATTGATAGCCTTGTGGTTTTATGCTAGTTTATGCAGTATTTTTTTAGAACAGTTTGTGGGTGAGGCTTACTCACAAAGTGTCTTGGGCCTTGTTACTTTTGTTTTCTTTTTTTTTTTTTTTTTTGAGTTGGAGTCTCGCTCTGTTGCCCAGGCTGGAGTGCAGTGGAGCGATCTCAGCTCACTGCAACCTCCGTTTCACTGCAACCTCCACCTCCTGGGTTCAAGCAATTCTTCTGCCTCAGCCTCCCACAGTTCTGGGATTACAGCTGTGAGCCACTATGCCCAGCCGGGCTGATGACTTTTAAGAGGCATCTCTGCATACCATTTTAGTGTGTGTGTGTTTTTATTATTATTTAGTAATTTCAGTTATTCATTGGCCAATGTTGTAATTTGTATTTTCCCTTTAAAATTATTTATTTTTTCCAGATATGCACATTTACTGATATAACATTGTTCCTGAAATTGACAAAGTCTCTTAGATCTGTAGTCATGTCTCTTTTAAGACAGAGTATCGGCCAGGCCAGGTGGCTCATGCCTGTAATCCCAGCAGTTTGGGAGGCCGAGGCAGGCGGATCACAAGGTCAGGAGTTCGAGACCAGGCTGCCCAATATGGCAAAACCCCATCTCTACTAAAAATACAAAAAATTAGCTGGGCATGGTGGCGGGTCCCTATAATCCCAGCTACTTGGGAGGCTGAGGCAGGAGAACCACTTGAACCTGGGAGGTGGAGGTTGCAGTGAGCTGAGATTGATGGTACCACTGCACTCTGGCCTGGGCAATAAGAGTGAAACTCTGGGCCGGGCGCGGTGGCTCAAGCCTGTAATCCCAGCACTTTGGGAGGCCGAGACGGGCGGATCACGAGGTCAGGAGATCGAGACCATCCTGGCTAACACGGTGAAACCCCTCTCTACTAAAAAATACAAAAAAGTAGCCAGGTGAGGTGGCGGGCGCCTGTAGTCCCAGCTACTCGGGAGGCTGAGGCAGGAGAATGGTGCAAACCTGGGAGGCGGAGCTTGCAGTGAGCTGAGATCCGGCCACTGCACTCCAGCCTGGGCGGCAGAGCAAGACTCCGTCTCAAAAAAAAAAAAAAAAAAAAAAAAGTGAAACTCTGTCTCAAAAAACAAACAACAACGAAAAAGAAACAGAGTATTACTCTGTCCCCCAGGCTAGAGCACAGTGGCTGTGGCTGTTGCTAAGTGTGATTATAGGCTCTGCAGTCTCGAACTCCTACCCTCAAGCGATCCTCCTGCGTTAGCCTCCTGTATAGCTGGAACCATAGGCATACACCACCGAAGCCAGCTCATGTTTCATTTTGTAAATCCTGACTTCTAAAAAAATATTTACCAGAAGCCCAGACCTCACCATAATCCTGATTTTTTTCTTCTTTTTCCTTAATTATGTTTGCCAGTGTTTGTCTATTTTATTAGTCTTTGCATAGACCATCCATTACGTTGTTCTGAATTTCTCATTAAGATGTATAACTTTTACTCCTTGTGTAATCAGCAGATACCTGACATTCTCTATTTCTTCTTCCAGAAATGTGATACCTCAAAGCACAAAGTGCTGGTAGTGTCTGTGTGTCCTCAGTCTTTGCCTTATTTTGCTGCTAAATTCAACCTCAGTGTAACTGATGCTTCCAGAAGACTCTGTGGTTTCCTCAAAAGTCTTGGTGAGTCGTCTTTTGATAAATTGGAAATGCACAACTCGAGTTTATAAGTGCTCTTTTTAATCTCTAAAGTTCGTTTTTCAAGGACGCAGGGTATATAAGCAACTTCCAAAAGAGTCTCTTGGAACGTAAAAAGACCTTGTCCCGTGTGTCATGAAAACCCAGCCTCTGATCGATGGTAGACGAGTGTCACTTTTCTCCTTTGCTGTGCACAGACGGGTGTTTTGTTACACAATGGGAGCTGACCCCTCTGGGACCAAACAGTGACCGCCTCTGACAACACGGACAGGGACACTGGGAGATTCCCACACTGGCCCAGCAACCTCCAAGTCACCCCTTACCCCCAGAGGGTGTGTATTTGATAAACAGTCACTTCTGAAATGATTAGTGTCTGGTTTCCCAAGAAGCTGTCTGAAGAGCAGACCAGAAAGGGAGTGGGCTTGTGTCCTTTACGTGAGGAATGAATGAAAGGTAGAAATTTAGGCCGGGCGCAGTGGCTCAAGCCTGTAATCCCAGCACTTTGGGAGGCCGAGATGGGCAGATCACGTGGTCAGGAGATCGAGACCATCCTGGCTAACACGGGTGAAACCCCGTCTCTACTAAAAAAAATACAAAAAACTAGCCGGGCAAGGTGGCGGGCGCCTGTAGTCCCAGCTACACGGGAGGCTGAGGCAGGAGAATGGCGTAAACCTGGGAGGCAGAGTTTGCAGTGAGCTGAGATCCGGCCACTGCACTCCAGCCCGGGTGACAGAGCGAGACTCTGTCCCAAAAAAAAAGAAAAAAAAAAAAAAAAGAATATAATCAAAGAACTCCACATCAGCGCTGGAATAACACTGCCTGAAATGTTGACGGATGATGCTTCTGCGTCTTCTGCTTTGGTCAAACTGGAACTGCCTCCCTCCATTTGCTTATAGAGGGGCTTTTGCAGCCTTGAGCATCCTCATAGCGTGATGGTCGATGTGCAAGTTCAGAAAAGGAAGACTGAGTGAGTTTCTAAATAAGTTTGTTGTTGTTGTTGTTTGTTTGTTTGTTTTTTGAGATGGAGTCTCACTCTTGTGCCCCAGGCTGGAGTGCAATGGTGCAGTCTCCGCTCACTGCAACCTCCGCCTCCCGGGTTCAAGAGATTCTCCTGCCTCAGCCCCCTGAGTAGCTGGGATTACAGGTGCCTGCTACCACACCCAGCTAATCTTTGTATTTTTAGTAGAGGTGATGTTTCACCATGTTGGCCAGGATGGTCTTAATCTCTTGACCTCGTGATCCACCCACCTTGGCTTCCCAAAGTGCTGGGATTATAGGCATGAGCCGCCGCACCTAGCCAAAAGGTTTATTATTATACAGTGGCTTTTAAAAATTGTAAATATTGGTCAGGTTTGGTGGCTCATGCCTGTAATCCCAGCACTTTGGAAGGCCAAGACCAGAAGATTACTTGAGGCCAGGAGCTCGAGACCAACCTGGACAACATAGCAAGATCCCATCTCTGCTAAATAAGAACATAGATGTAGATATATTGGGAATTACTGGTGAAATAAAATGATATTTGGAATAAGGATCATCAGGACAGGCTTGAAGTCTGAGCAGCAGCCTGGGGGTCCTGATGCTCCCTGTTCCCTAGGTGCCTGGGCTCTAACAGGGCCTGGTCATCTAGCACATGATGTGCTGCCGCCAAAACCCGGCTATAGCAACAGGTGCACACACATTAGGTTGCTCCTTCATGCTTGTCATCGTAAAGCCTCAGGTTAGGTTAGTTTTACTGAAGATCAAAGTTGCCAAATGCTGTATTTTCTCATGATGAAATATCTTATTTGGGGATAGATTGTTAAAATTATATAATGGAATATTATATAGCAATAAAATGTATCCACAGTAAAATTGATTTCTTATTGTAATATTTTAAAATTTATAATATTTCTTTTTTTTTTTTTTTGAGACGGAGTCTCGCTCTGTCGCCCAGGCGGGAGTGCAGTGGTGCCATTTCGGCTCACTGCAAGCTCCATCTCCCAGGTTCACGCCATTCTCCTGCCCCACCACCACACCCGGCTAATTTTTTTTGTTTTTGTTTTTGGTAGAGATGGGGTTTCACCATGTTAGCCAGGATGGTCTTGATCTCCTGACCTCGTGATCAACCCATCTCGGCCTCCCAAAGTGCTGGGAGTATAGGCATGAGCCACCGCGCCCAGCCCAAAGTTTATAATATTTCTTTTTTTTTCTTTTTTTTTTTTTTTTGGAGACAGAGTCTCACTCCATCACCCAGGCTGGAGTGCGGTGGCGCGATCTCAGCTCACTGCAAGCTCCGCCTCCCAGGTTCACGCCATTCTTCTGCCTCAGCCTCCCGAATAGCTGGGACTACAGGTGCCCCCCACCACGCCTGGCTAATTTTTTGTATTTTTAGTAGAGATGGGGTTTCACCATGTTAGCTAGGATGGTCTCGATCTCCTGACCTCATGATCCATCCACCTTGGCCTCCCAAAGTGCTGGGATTACAAGCATGAGCAACTGCGCCTGGCCTAATATTTCTTATAACTAGTTGCATTTTCTCTCAGCTTTGTTACCTGGGAAGGGGAAGAAACAAAAAATTTAAAATTAAAAAAATCAGGCTGGGCCGGGCGCGGTGGCTCAAGCCTGTAATCCCAGCACTTTGGGAGGCCGAGGCGGGTGGATCACGAGGTCAGGAGATCGAGACTATCCTGGCTAACATGGTGAAACCCCGTCTCTACTAAAAATACAAAAAACTAGCCGGGCGTGGTGGCGGGCGCCTGTAGTCTCAGCTACTTGGGAGGCTGAGGCGGGAGAATGGCGTGAACCCGGGAGGCGGAGCTTGCAGTGAGCCGAGATCACGCCACTGCACTCCAGCCTGGGAGACACAGCGAGACTCCGTCTCAAAAAAAAAAAAAAAAAAAAAAAAAAAAAAATCAGGCTGGGCACGGTGGCCCACGCCTGTAATCCCAGCACTTTGGGAGGCCAAGGCAGGCGGATCACGAGGTCAGAGATCGAGATCATCCTGCTAACACGGTGAAACACTGTCTCTTTTTTTTTTTTTTTTTTTTTTGAGACGGAGTCTCACTCTGTCGCCCAGGCTGGAGTGCAGTGGCCGGATTTCAGCTCACTGCAAGCTCCGCCTCCCGGGTTTACGCCATTCTCCTGCCTCAGCCTCCTGAGTAGCTGGGACTACAGGCGCCCGCCACCGAGCCCGGCTAGTTTTTTGGGGTTTTTTTTGTATTTTTAGTAGAGACGGGGTTTCACCGTGTTAGCCAGGATGGTCTCGATCTCCTGACCTCGTGATCCGCCCGTCTCGGCCTCCCAAAGTGCTGGGATTACAGGCTTGAGCCACCACGCCTGGCCAGAACGCTGTCTCTACTAAAAATACAAAAAAATTAGCCGGGCGTCATGGCAGGCGCCTGTAGTCCCAGCTACTCAGGAGGCTGAGGCAGGAGAATGGTGTGAACCTGGGAGGCGGAGCTTGCAGTGAGCCGAGATCACGCCACTGCACTCCAGCCTGGGCAACAGAGTGAGACTGTCTCAAAAAAAAAAAAAAAAAAAAAAAGTATAAAAATTTAAACCATTATAAAAGTATGCCCAGCCATTCTGTACTTTTTTTTTTTTTTTTTTTTTTTGAGACGGAGTCTTGCTGTGTCGCCCAGGCTGGAGTGCAGTGGCCGGATCTCAGCTCACTGCAAGCTCCGCCTCCCGGGTTTTTACGCCATTCTCCTGCCTCAGCCTCCCGAGTAGCTGGGACTACAGGCGCCCACCACCTCGCCCGGCTAGTTTTTTGTATTTTTTAGTAGAGACGGGGTTTCACCGTGTTAGCCAGGATGGTCTCGAACTCCTGACGTCGTGATCCGCCCGTCTCGGCCTCCCAAAGTGCTGGGATTACAGGCTTGAGCCACCGCGCCCGGCCATTCTGTACTTTTAAACACACCAAGAACCATCACAGACTGAAATTTAATTTGCCTGTGAATTGGAAGAGAATCCTGTGGGTATGTTTTTTTGTTTTTTGTTTTTTGTTTTTTTGAGACGGAATCTCGCTGTGTCGCCCAGGCTGGAGTGCAGTGGTGCGATCTCGGCTCACTGCAAGCTCCACCTCCCGGGTTCACGCCATTCTCCTGCCTCAGCCTCTGAGTAGCTGGGACTACAGGCGCCCGCCACCACGCCCGGGTAGTTTTTTGTATTTTTAGTAGAGACGGGGTTTCACCGTGTTAGCCAGGATGGTCTCGATCTCCTGACCTCGTGATCCACCCGCCTCGGCCTCCCAAAGTGCTGGGATTACAGGCTTGAGCCACCCCGCCTGGCCACTGTGGGTATGTTATAATATTCCATTAATTTATGTATGGAGTAAGGTGTTTTTTTTGTTTTGTTTTGTTTTGTTTTTTTGGTTTTTTTTCTTGAGATGGAGTCTCGCTCTGTCGCCCAGGCTGGAGTGCTGTTGCTGGATCTCAGCTCACTGCAAGCTCCGCCTCCCGGGTTCACGCCATTCTCCTGCCTCAGCCTCCTGAGTAGCTGGGACTACAGGTGCCCGCCACCTCGCCTGGCTAGTTTTTTGTATTTTTTTAGTAGAAACGGGGTTTCACTGTGTTTGCCAGGATGGTCTCGATCTCCTGACCTTGTGATCCGCCCGTCTCGGCCTCCCAAAGTGCTGGGATTACAGGCTTGAGCCACTGCGCCCAGCCGGAGTAAGGTGTTTTAAAATGTAGATGTAGAGAGAGAAGAAGCACGAGAGAGAACATACATATTTCATTGTGAAAAATGATATACGCTCATTGTTTACAAAATAAAAGGTAAAGCACATAGTCTTGAACTTACGCCATTAGGAATAGAAAAGAACCAAGGCTGATTTTATTATCATAGGAGAGATGCCTGTAGAATCTATGCTTTAAGTTTGTTTCTTAAACGTGAGAAAGCAAAAATGAGTAAGAATGAGGAAGTATTGGCTGGACGCAGCGGCTCATGCCTGTAATTCTAGCACTCTGGGAGGCCAAGGTGGGTAGATCACCTGAGCCCAGGAATTCAAGACCAGCCTGGCCAACATGGTGAAACTTCATCTCTACTAAAAAATACAAAAATTGGCCAGGCATAATGGCGAGTGCCCGTAATCCTGGTTACTGGAGAGACTGAGGTGGGAGGATCACTTGAACCCGGGAGGCGGAGGTTGCCGTGAGCCGAGATTGTGCCACTGCACTGTAGCCTGGGTGACAGAACGAGACTCCGTCTCAAAAAAAAAAAAAGAGGAAGCCTAAAAGTAGATCTTTTCGTAGGTGCTTTAAGCTGAACATGCTCCTCTCTCCTGCAGGGGTGCACTATGTGTTTGATACGAGGATAGCTGCGGATTTTAGTATCCTGGAGAGCCAAAAAGAATTCGTGCGTCGCTATCGCCAGCACAGTGAGGAGGAGCGCACCCTGCCCATGCTGACCTCTGCCTGTCCTGGTGAGCCCCTGGAGGTGCCGACAGAGGTTTCACAAGGTTCTGCAGGCGCTGGATAAGGTTGGAGGCAGACAGACCCATCCCACCCAGCCTTGTAGACCGGAAGGGAAGAGCTTGGCCTGATTCACAGAGAATGTTTGATGTTTAGGGACAGCCAGTTTAGTTTTTCATCAGAGGTGCCACACTGGAAAGGCCAGTATGTTTGTTTATTTTAGTTTAGTTTAGTTTAGTTTACTTTAGTTTAGTTTGAGACAGAGTCTCACTCTGTCGCCCAGGCTGGAGTGCAGTGGCACGATCTCGGCTCACTGCAAGCTCCGCCTTCCAGGTTCAAGCGATTCTCCTGCCTGAGCCTGCCAAGTAGCTGGGACTACAGGTGCACGCCACTGCACCCAGCTAATTTTTGTATTATTAGCGGAGATGGGGTTTTGCCATGTCGGCCAGGCTGGTCTTGAACTCCTGAGCTCAAGTGATCTGCCTGCCTCAGCCTCCCAAAGTGCTGGGATTACAGGCATGAGACATTGTGCCCAGCCTAGGCGGATCTCTTGAGCCCAGGAGTTTGAGGCCAGCCTGGGCAACTTGTCTCTATTTTTTTTTTTTTTTTTGGAGACAGAATCTCAGTCTGTTGCCTAGGCTGGAGTGCAGTTGCGTGATCTCTGCTCACTGCAAGCTCCGCCTCCCAGGTTCACACCATCCTCCTGCCTCAGCCTCCCAAGTAGCTGGGATTACAGGCTAGCGCCACCACGCCTGGCTAATTTTTGTATTTTTAGTAGAGATGGGGTTTCGCCATGTTGCCGAAACCTGGTCTTGACAAGTGATCTGCCCGCCTTGGCCTCCCAAAGTGCTGGGATTATAGACATGAGCCACCACACCCATCCTCTAATTTTTTAAATAAATATTTTTTAAAAGGAAAAGAAAAATAGGCCAGGCATTACAGCCATAATCCCAACAATTTAGGAGGCTGATGTGGGAGGATTGCTTGAGCCCAGGAATGTGGAACCAGCCTTGTCAACAGAGTGAGACCTTGTTTCTGCAAAAAAACAAAAGAAAGCCGGGATGGTGGCATGTACCTGTAATCCTAGCTACTACAAATCCTAGCCTGAGGTGAGTAGATTGTTTGAGCCAAGGAGTTAGAGGCTGCAGTGAGTTATGACTCCTCCATTGTACTCCAGCCTGGGCGAAAGACTGAGGTCCTGTCTCTTAAGAAAATCTATTTTCTCTTGAAAGTACGACATATCTCAGATGTACAAATAATTATGAAATAATACGGCAAACGTGCATCTATCCTTTGCCAGCTTAAAAAAATGCAGAATAAGAAAATTTCGACCAGGCGCGCTGGCTCACGCCTGTAATCCCAGCACTTTGGGAGGCCGAGGCGGGCGGATCACGAGGTCAGGAGATCGAGACCATCCTGGCTAACACCGTGAAACCCCGTCTCAACTAAAAATACAAAAAAATTAGCCGGGCGTGGTGGCGGGCGCCTGTAGTCCCAGCTTCTTGGGAGACTGAGGCAGGAGAATGGCGTGAACCCGGGAGACAACGGAGCTTGCAGTGAGCGGAGATCGTGCCACTGCACTCCAGCCTGGGAGACAGAGCGAGACTGCATCTTAAAAAAAAAGAATAAGAAAATTTCTTTACAGTGATATTCAGATACTCTCAGAGAGCACTGTTTAAACCGCTGTTTAATTGGTTTTTGGATGCCTGAGTTATAGAAGAGATTTATCACATGCTTTTCAATTCCAGAAAAGTAGAGAGTTTGGGTTAAGAAATTTTTGACGATGCATAAGGGAATAAGGAAAGAATGGCTATCCTGGCAAACATTAGTTAAAAATTATTCTAACTACATGAGGCCTGTGGGAGCATAGGAGAGCTCTATCTAAGCTAGTCGTAGGCTGTATAATTTTTAGGGTTTGGTTCATGTTTCAGTTCTCAATTTATGCTACCCCCACAATGGTTTCAAATTTTTCTAGCATTTTACATGTCAACCTTTAGTCATTAGGATTATGAGTTAATAAGGTAGAACGTTGACATTGTGGTTGCTTAGAATATGGACCATTTATAAAATAAAAAGAGGAAATTTACCAGCTGTTCTGTGGGCTGCACTGGTTGGCTCATTATTTGAGCTGTGTCTTTCACCAGCAACCCACGGTCTGCTGTGTTCTCAGCTCCAGATGGGGACGGCGATGTTAGTGACTCCTTTCAGCTGTGTGGTTTGCCTTAGTGTAAGTGATTCACAGATTTTTGTATCAGAGGTCTAAGTATAAACTGTTTGATACCAGATACAGCCTTTTACTAGATTGTGGGTATTACATTCAGCTCTTGTGGCATTTTGGGTGTTCTTCCAGGCGTAAAGGAATAATTTCCACACCTATGGTTTTGGGAGCTGCCTGGGCTCCAGTGACCTGGGAGTACCTGGTGTTTGTGTGCTGAGCCTGCTTCTGTGGTCCCCTTGCTGGAGTACTTTCCTTTTGGGGCCCATTACATGATGCCACACACAACATGGCTTCACAACACCAGTCACATTTGCTTAGTTCCACCCCCAGCCAAGGAAGAGGCCATGTAAAATGACAAAGAACTAACACCAATGCCCCTGGAGCAGTGGGTTTCTGAATTATAAAAAATTCAGGCCGGGCGCGGTGGCTCATACCTGTAATCCCAGCACTTTGGGAGGCTGAGGTGGGTGGATCACGAGGTCAGGAGATTGAGACCATCCTGGCCAACATGGTGAAACGCCGTCTCTACTAAAAATACAAAAAATTAGCCAGGCGTGGTGGCGGGCGCCTGTAGTCCCAGCTACTTGGGAGGATGAGGTGGGAGGATCACTGGAACCTGGGAGGTCAAGGCTGCAGTGAGCCGTGATTGCACCACTGCACTCCAGCCTGGGTAACAGAGCAACCCTGTCAATTATACATATATGCTACATACATACAGCAAATCTCAAGCTAAAATAGGAAGCAAGGGGCTGGTCTGCAGCTGGTGGCTGGAGAAGAGAAAGGATTTGGTGACACATTTCTCAGAAATGCCGTCACTGAGAAGAGGCGTCTCAGGGCCCCTACCTAGCATTGTGTTCACTGCCACAGGCGGAGGGATCACCATTTCTATACAAATCAGCAATCTACTCAGGATTCACATCAGCAGAGTTAGTTCCTTCAGTGACTTGAGAGTTCCATTCTAGGTTCCATCCCAGTAGGATCTCTCATAAGGAAATCAACAAATGCGAGGAGACTGCAAAAAGTTTGTGAAAGAACAGAATTAAAAGATAAAAAGTATAAACTCTATTTCTTGGCCAGGTGCAGTGGCTCGCACCTTTGGGAGGCTGAGGCGAGTGGATCACGAGGTCAGGAGATTGAGACCATCCTGTCTAACACGGTGAAACCCCATCTCTACTAAAAATACAAAAAACTAGCCGGGTGTGGTGGCAGGCGCCTGTGGTCCCAGCTATTCAGGAGGCTGAGGCAGGAGAATGGCGTGAACCCGGGAGATGACGGAGCTTGCAGTGAGTGGAGATCGCGCCACTGCACTCCAGCCTGGGTGACAGAGCGAGACTCCGTCTCAAAAAAAAAAAAAAAAAAAGCCAGGCGCGGTGGCTCACGCCTGTAATCCCAGCACTTTGGGAGGCTGAGGTGGGCGGATCACGAGGTCAGGAGATCAAGACCATCCTGGCTAACACGGTGAAACCCCGTCTCTACTAAAAATACAAAAAAATTAGCCGGGCGTGGTGGCGGGCGCCTGTAGTCCCAGCTACTCAGGAGGCTGAGGCAGGAGAATGGTGTGAACCCGGGAGGCAGAGCTTGCAGTGAGCCAAGACTGCGCCACTGCACTCCAGCCTGGGCGACAGAGCGAGACTCCATCTCAAAAAAAAAAAAAAAAAAGGCCAGGCGCGGTGGCTCACGCCTGTAATCCCAGCACTTTGGAAGGCCGAGGCGGGCGGATCACAAGGTCAGGAGATCGAGACCATGGTGAAACCCCGTCTCTACTAAAAATAGAAAAAAATTAGCCGGGCGCAGTGGCGGGCGCCTGTAGTCCCAGCTACTCGGGAGGCTGAGGCCGGAGAATGGCGTGAACCCAGGAGGCGGAGCTTGCAGTGAGCCGAGATTGCGCCACTGCACTCCAGCCTGGGTGACAGAGCAAGACTCCGTCTCAAAAAAAAATAAAAAATAAAAAAAAATAAAATAAAATGTATAAACTTTATTTCTCAACATAAGCTCCATCCTGGTCAAACACTTTTTTTATTTTTTATTTTATTTATTTATTGAGACAGAGTCTCGCTCTGTCACCCAGGCTGGAGTGCAGTGGTGTGATTTTGGCTCACTGCAACCTCTGCCCCCTGGGTTCAAGTGATTCTCCCACCTCAGCCTCCTGAGAAGCTGGGATTGCAGGCACATGCCACCATGCCCAGGTAATTTTTGTATCTGTAGTAGAGACAGGGTTTTACCATTTTGGTCAGGCTGGTCTCAAACTCCTGACCTCAGGTGATCTGCCCATCTCAGCCTCCCAAAGTGCTGGAATTACAGGCGTGAGCCACTGAGCTTGGCCAAGACACTTTTTTTTTGAGATAAGAGTCTTGCTCTGTCGCCCAGGCTGGAGTGCAGTGGCGTGATCTCAGCTCACTCCAACCTCCGCCTCCCAGGTTCACGCCATTCTCCTGCCTCAGCCTACCGAGTGGCTGGGACTACAGGCGCCTGCCACCACTCCCGACTAATTTTTAATTTTTTGTGTTTTTAGTAGCGACGGGGTTTCACCATGTTAGCCAGGCTGGTCTCACTCTGCTGACCTCGTGATCCGCCCGTCTCGGCCTCCCAAAGTTCTGGGATTACAGGCATGAGCCATCATGCCTGGCTAGATTTCTTATATTTTAAAAAGTGTGCAGTTGTTGGGCTGTTAATTTCTAGTCAGCAAGAGAAGTTGGGCAAGCATGTGGCTGCTCTCCTTTGAGCGGTAACTGCGTGTCCTGGCTGCAAAGACTGTGCAGCTGGCCAGGGGATTTCGCACGGTGCAGCCTGGGCCACTGCTCCTGCTGCCCTTCAGTGCTTGTTCCCCTTCACCTTTTTGGGGGACCTGTTACCCCGACTCTTACTTGTCTGTCGGCCTTGCAGGGACACTCCCATTTCCCAGTAGCCTCTAGGCCTGCAGGTTCCCATGACCCACAGCTGGGCCACAGGATGGGTTTTGGGTCCAGCACGACCTCCTGGTAAGGCCTGGGGAAAAGGTGTCCTGGCTTCACCCTGGGGCGGCAGGGACTCGAGCTCAGCATTCCCTGGTGCGTGGCAGGAAGGTCCAGAGGAAGCAGTAAGGAGCTGACCTTGGACCCCTTCTCTCCCCAGGCTGGGTCCGATACGCCGAGCGGGTGCTGGGTCGTCCCATCACTGCCCACCTCTGCACTGCCAAGTCCCCCCAGCAGGTGATGGGCTCGTTGGTGAAGGATTATTTCGCCAGACAGCAGGTAAGCTGACCTCTCTGTGGAGGGCAGGAAGGGCAAGTGAGGGAGGACCATGGCACAGGGGCCCAGGAAGGGGAGGTTCCCCATCTCTCTGGTGTGGTCATGGCCCCCCAGGTGAGCAAAAAGGAAGCTGTGGCTTCAGGAAACATTAGCAGTGCTATTTCTCACCAACGCCCATCTCTGTTCCTCCCTTCCTTCCTCTTACAACCTCTTTCTTTCTTCGTGGCATCTGGTCGTTCTCATGGGCCCATTCGGGGTAGACATGCTGCCCACGCTGCTGAGAATGAGACCCAAGACCTTGCCCAGAGATGCTGCCTGCCTGCCGTTGGGACGCCTCACCCAAGGAGGCCTAGAATGGCCTGTGCCCAGAGGCCAAGGGCCACTATCATTTCGGGAGCCAAACCTGGCCTCCGCCCTGGCCTTTTCCCTCAGACCATGGGCATCACATGACTTCCTTAGCCCCATCTGTGAGATTCTGCAGGCCCATGATGCTGTCTTCCACTTGATGGAGTGAGTCCCGGCCTGAGGCTCCTGCGTGGCCCCTGCCTCAGCCCATCACGTTCTCCCTTCCCACAGACCTCTGTGCCCCCAGGTCCTCCCAGAACTCCCTGATGTCTCCAAGGCCACCCTCAAAGGGACCCTAATCCATGGTTTATTCTCCAGCCGCTGGCATGCCCCACACTGCTCTTCTCAATCAGACTTTACACCTCCCTCCAGGGGAGCAGCCGTGTCCAGGCACTGTGGTAACTGGAGTAGAGGACAACATCAGGATCTTTCAGACATTTGAAGTCAGCCTACAAAGGCACGCACATTTGGCAGCCTTGTTATTTTAGCAATAGGCAGTGCTTTCTTTCTACCTAGTTTCTTTCTACCCATAAAGTCATAATTTGGCAAATGGTAAACATGATGTCAGAGTGTACGCGTCCAGTTTAGGCAGGACCAAGAAATGAGCTATGGGACTTTATGTCTGTCCCTTGTCCTGCCCCCACCTGAAGAGAGCCATGTGTTTCTAGGTCTTCCACGTGCTGCCCTCTCCCCTGGCTGGAGCCCAGAGCTATGTGTCCTCCTATAGGTGCTGTGAGGGGCAGCTGCAGAGACGCGGCCTCCAGCAGCCCCTCACCTGACTGTCTGGCACAGCTGCGGCCGGGGCGGGTTTCCTCTTTTGCTCCGCCCCTGCCCTAAATGGGGCCTTTCCACCCAGACCTCACCACAGGATCACTTGGCAACTGCTGACTCCTGGCTTTGCCATCAGTTCAGGCCCAGCCATAGGCACCTGCTCTGTGTGGCAGGGCCCCAGGAGAGGGGTAGCTTGGGTGGGCATCGCTTGGGAAGATTCAGGAAAGCCTGTGGGTGAAGTAGCCAGCACATACACACACACACACACACACACACACACACACACCCTCGGGCCTGCCACAGTGGCTCCATGCCGGACCAGCAACAGCTCCACACCAGCCGGACCTCTTGCCTGTTTTGTCCCATGTGCACAGGTTCGGGAGGAAATGGGCTCAGCCTTCCTGGTTCTTCCAAGAGGCTCCACTGACTGGGGCGCTTTGCAGATGGTTTGGGAGTACCACACTCAGTCCCGAGGGAGGCAGCAGACACGGATGGGGTGCTGGTGCTCGGTAGAGTTGCAGAGGGGATGGGAGCCAGATGTGACTACAGCAGCTTCATCTGTGGGGCCCAGCCTCAGACCCACAACAGTAACAGCCCCAAGAAAGTGCCGCATGCGGACAGGCTTGATGGCTCACACCTGTAATCCTAGCACTTTGGAGGCCGAGGCGGGCAGATTGCCTGAGATCAGGAGTTTGAGACCAGCCTGGGCAACACAGTGAAGCCCCATCTCTACTAAAGTACAAAAAATTAGCCAGGCATGATGGCATGCGCCTGTAGTCCCAGCTACTCAGGAGGCTGAGGCGGGAGAATCGTGTGAACCCAGGAGGCGGAGGTTACAGTGAGCTGAGATCATGCCACTGCACTCCAGCCTGGGCGACAGAGCAAGACTCTGTCTCAAAAAAGTCCAAGAAATTAGCCAGGCATGACGGCATGCGCCTGTAGTCCCAGCTACTCAGGAGGCTGAGGCGGGAGAATCGTGTGAACCCAGGAGGCGGAGGTTACAGTGAGCTGAGATCATGCCACTGCACTCCAGCCTGGGGGACAGAGCGAGACTCCGTCTCAAAAAAAAAAAAAAGTGCTGCATGCAGTGTCTGGAGGGCAACAGGAGGGGGCAGTCGGTCTCCCATCCCTCCTGTCCTGGGCACCAAGTGTAAGCTGCCATCGTCACCTCTCCACCAGCCCTAAACATGGGTGTCCCTCTCCCACAGAACCTGTCTCCAGAGAAGATTTTCCACGTCATCGTGGCCCCTTGTTATGACAAGAAGCTAGAGGCTCTTCAGGAAGGCTTTCCCCCCGCTTTGCATGGCTCCCGGGGCGCTGACTGCGTGTTAACATCAGGTGAGAGGTGGGCGGGGGCGCACCTGGGCGCTGGGGGATTCTCCGACTGGCCAGTACACACCGGAGCCAGGCAGATCTGTGTCCCAGAGCCATCTCAGTGCCTGCCACTGTGGTCACTTGTCTGAAGTTACTGACAGCTGGGAGGCCAAGACAGGTGGATCACCTGAGGTCGGGAGTTCGAGACCAGCCTGACCAACATGGGGAAACCCTGTCTCTATTAAAAATACAAAAAATTAGCTGGGCATGGTAGCACATGCCTGTAATCCCAGCTGCTCAGGAGGCTGAGGCAGGAGAATTGCTTGAACCCAGGAGGCGGAGGTTGTGGTAAGTTGAGATCACGCCGTTACACTGTAGCCTGGGCAACGAGAGTAAAACTTCGTCTCAAAAAAGAAAAATAAAAGATAAATCAGGTCTCTGGGAGAACCACTCGGGCAATATGGTGGCCCTGACTTTACATTACAGTCCGTGCAGGGTACTTACCTCTTGGTAGGAAAGTTGTCTATAGCCATAGTGGGTCTCCTTCTCACAAACCAAGTCTGCACTTAAAACACAAGTGAAGTTTTTTTCATTCAGAGTAAAATGAAAAAGGCACGTTTGCTTCAGTGACATTGCCTTTACCACTGTATTGGCCACTCCTTTCAGATATTAAGACCCTACAGTGAGTTCTGTGTGTGTTGTGGATGGAAGTCATTCCCTGGAATTAGGTAGAACCCATTCAGAAGAATGTTGACGTCAGTTGGTGGGGGAAGCTTAAGACTGTTAAAATTCTGGTGGAACTGTTTTAGTTGGTCTCGGAAAACAGGTCCCGGCAGGTATGTAGATTAGTGGTACGTGAGGCAGAGAGGTCAGCTCTCAGGGACAGTCTTTAAGGATGCCAATGTCCCTCACAGTCCCCTGACTTGAAATTCTAGCATGCAGATGCCTCTGGAAAGGTCCCCACCCTACAGGCACAGGCTCCCTGTGGGGTGACGTGGCAGGGGTGTTAAAGGATGAGGGACAGAAGGGCCCTCAGCACTGCCATCCTTCACTCTCAGAGGAAGGGCCCGGGGGCCATCTGCTTGTGTTGACAAAATAAAAACATGCGCAGCAGGCTATCAGAAGAACCATGTCCAGCCATCTTTTTTCTGAGTGCAGATTTATAGGAAATTATGCTATTTTCTTACCTGTGTTTCCAGCCATCTCACAGCATCTGATGTGATGCCACAGCCAGGTTTTAGAGGCTCAGTTTTTCTATTAAGGGTTTTTTCAGGCATCTTCATGTAAAAGGAAATACAGAAAGAGGTTCTCACTTTCAGTTGATCTCATTGCAGAATAACCATATGTCATGTAAATGTAGCTGGGTGCAGTGGCTCAGGCCTCTAGTTCTAGCCACTCAGGAGGCTATGGCCGGAGGATCACTTGAGCCCAGGAGTTTGAGACCTCACTGGGCAACACAGTGAGACGTTGTCTCTTTTTTTTTTTGAGACGGAGTCTCACTCTGTTGCCCAGGCTCTGCAGTGGCTCCATCGCAGTTCACTACAACCTCCGCCTCCCAGGATCAAGCGATTCTCCTCCCTCAGTCTCCCAAGTAGCTGGGATTACAGGCGCGCACCACCACGTCAGGCTAACTTTTGTATTTTTAGTAGAGAGGCAGTTTCGCCATGTTGGCCAGACTGGAGACCTTGTTTCTTAAAAAAAAAAAAAAAAAAAAAAAGGCCGGGCGCGGTGGCTCAAGCCTGTAATCCCAGCACTTTGGGAGGCCGAGACGGGCGGATCACGAGGTCAGGAGATCGAGACCATCCTGGCTAACACAATGAAACCCCGTCTCCACTAAAAATACAAAAAAATTAGCCGGGCGTGGTGGCGGCGCCTGTAGTCCCAGCTACTCGGGAGGCTGAGGCAGGAGAATGGCGGGAACCCGGGAGGCGGAGCTTGCAGTGAGCCGAGATCGCGCCACTGCACTCCAGCCTGGGCGACAGAGCGAGACTCTGCCTCAAAAAAAAAAAAAAAAAAAAAAATGGGCTGGGCACAGTGGCTCACACTTGTAATCCCAGCACTTCAGGAGGCTGAGGCAGGCTGGTCACCTGAGGTCAGGAGGTCGAGACCTGTCTGGCCAGGTGTGGTGGTGCACACCTATAATCCCAGCTACTCGGGAGGCTGAGGCAAGAGAATCGCTTGAACCCTTGAACCCGGGAGGCAGAGGTTACAGTGAGCCAAGATCGCACCACTGTACTCCAGCCTGGGCGGCGGAGGTGAGACTCCATCTCAAAAAAAAAAAAATGCACCCAGTATATATTTCATCATCCTATTTCTGTGAGCTTGTTGTAACAAAAGTTTTCTGTTTCATGCAAAGTGGACCAAAAAAGTTTACAGATTTTCCGCATGGGAAAATCACGGAGAGATTGTTTACATAAATGCCGCAGTTCGAGGGCAGAAAGAGGAATGGAAAGAGGAATTCGAATTGAATTCTGCTTACATTTTATTAGTGTTTGATTTTATTGGCCTCGCTTTGCCCTGTAGATGGACTCCACTCCTGCTGTCTGTGATGGAGATTTCATAGGAGGGAGGTCATCCAGGGTCACTGATGTCAAATTTCCTGCAGGGGAAGAAAAGTTCCTGTGGCCACCTGTGTCTTTTCAGTGTCTCTTACTTCATTTGTCTGTAGGTGAAATTGCTCAAATAATGGACCAAGGTGACCTCTCAGTGAAGGATGCTGCCATCGACACTCTGTAAGTGGCTTATCTAGGGAGAGTCCTCTGGAGGGCAGGACCTCCCGTCAGCCCTGCCAGCCGCCTGATAGGCCCAGGGCTGCCCTGCTTTATGACGAGGCCATGTGAAGCACTGAGATGCAGTCCCCCGGGCCCCCGCCACAACCCTCAGCCACCCTTCTAGCTGTTGAGTGGGATACCATTCACCAGGGCTGCCAGGGAGTCAGGAGGCTTGGCGGGCTTCCATGGTGCGATTGCCACCCCAAACCCTCGAGGAAGGACGGGAAGCATAAACAGCTTTGTGCTCGCTGGGGCAGGGCCGTTCATGTGTGCGCCAGCCCCCTTCTTCCTGAGTGCCGTCTGTGCCTCACGTTCCACTGTGGGGCAGTGGGGCAGCTCCCTCAGGCCCCTTTGCACCAAGAGTAGCAGGCTGGGTTCTGCTGGGGGCGGTGACCTTGATACCCAGCAAGGCCTGGGGCTCCTGCTGCACCCCAGGCACTGGGCAGAGAGCACCATAAAGGCAGCGGAGTGTGTCCTCGCCAACACTCTGCATCCCAGGTGCTGCCTTCATGCCCTTTTGGGGGAAGGTGAGATAGAAGTTAAGCATCTGTGGGGCCATGCATGGTGGCTCACACCTATAATCCCAGTACTTTGGGAGACTGAGGTAGGAGGATGGCTTGAGTCCAAGAGGCTGGGGTTGTAGTGAGCTATGATTGTGCCACTGCACTCCAGCCTGGGAGACAGAAAAAGACCCTGTCTCAAAGAAAAGAAAAAGACCATAAGCATCTGGAGCACCTGCAAGAGCCTGTGCATGGGCTCGGCGTGACTGAGAGTCCTCCGCCTGGCCCGAGCATCAGGCACGCCCTCCCGAGACCCCTCAAGATGCTAGAAATGGGACTTTCTCCAAAGTTTAAACATTTGTAGAGGATTTAGCTTCTTTGGTGGTGCCCTTGGATTGTGATGCCCTCTGGAAGTCTGGTTTCACGCTTGCTGTCACTGTACATCGGCATTCATGATGGACTTGTTTTTTCTCTGCCTGGTGAGGTTTGGAGACTTGAAGGAGGACAAGGTGACGCGCCATGATGGAGCCAGCTCGGACGGGCACCTGGCACACATCTTCAGACATGCGGCCAAGGAGCTGTTCAACGAGGATGTAGAGGAGGTCACTTACCGAGCCCTGAGGTGTGGGGCAGCGTCCACAGCCTGTCTGTGCCTGTGGTCAGCACGTGTGCACGTGTGATCTGTGCATGTGGCGGTTCTGTGTATGGAGTTTACACCAGTCACAATCGAAAGGGCTTTTTTGTGTTTATTTAGAACTTTTATTTTGCTGACATTCCAAACTCACATTAGAAAGTGTTCTTGGGTGGCTCACGCCTGTAATCCCAGCACTTTGGGAGGCCGAGGCGGGTGGATCACAAGATCAGGAGATTGAGACCATCCTGGCTAACACAGTGAAACCCCGTCTCTACTAAAAATCCAAAAAATTAGCCAGGTGTGGTGGCGGGCGCCTGTAGTCTCAGCTACTCGGGAGGCTGAGGCGGGAGAATGGTGTGAACCTGGGAGGTGGAGGTTGCAGTGAGCCGAGATCGTGCCACTGCACTTCAGCACGGGCGACAGAGCAAGACTCCTGTCTCAAGAAAAAACAAGTGTTCTTAAGTCACAGATAAAGGACTTGATGGATCAAAATTCTCTGTGTTCATTTTGTAGAAACAAAGACTTCCAAGAGGTCACCCTTGAGAAGAATGGGGAGGTGGTGTTACGCTTTGCTGCGGCCTATGGCTTTCGAAACATCCAGAACATGATCCTGAAGCTTAAGAAAGGAAAGTTCCCGTACCACTTTGTGGAGGTCCTCGCCTGTGCTGGAGGTGAGGCGCCAAGAGCAGCACCTGGCTCTGTCCCCCGTGGGTGCTCGGGCCACACTGGTCCTGCAGCTGCCAGAGAGACGGTGTTCTTGGCCACCCAGAGCCTCTCTCAGCCCCGAGAGCTTTGTAGGGTGTGGATGTTCCCATGGGGCTTGTGCTGGGACATTCTAGGCTCCATTGGTTTTGCTCTTTCCCTCACCCCACATAGCGTGTGGGCATTCTCTTGGGGACGTGCCCTCAGGAGGCCCCACATGGCACCAGGTGAGAGTCAGCCCGTGGCAGCTGGCTTAGAGAACAAATCACAAGAGTCGAGGCCACTCTGCCTGGGAGAAACACCCCTGCCTCCTGCCAGGCGCCAAGGATGAGCCAGCTCTGTCCTGAGTGATGGGAGAGAGCAGTGAGAGGTGGAAGCGGGAAGGGGTGTGACCCAGCCTGGGCCTGAGGGGCTCCCTTGCTGCTTGGAGGGAGGGTGGGCCACCGTGGGCTACGATCATCCAGGCACGTGAGGAAGGGTCCCCACCTGGGGCAGGAGGAGTGAGAGGACAAGAGGAGGCCAGGACAGGGTGGGGGTCTCCGGGAAGGATGTGCTGAGGGTGAGTGTCAGAGATGAAGGGGACCCCCTGCCCCTGACCCCTGGTGGGGAAATGAGGACCTTTGTGCCATTGTGAGTCGGGGGGGGGCACCACGAGGGACTTGAGTGGAAATGCTGGGTGCAGGTCAGTGGGAGGAGTGGCTCCACTGATGTTAGATGAATGGGACAAGGTGTGAAGCCACAGGACGGGAGGGGCCCCTGGGCAGGGCACAGACAAGGGTGCAGTTGGAGGCCCTGCCATAGTGTCCTTCAACACAGAGGAGGGGAGGTCCCAGCCAGCACTGACAGGAGGGTGAGGGCAGAGAGGCGAGCATGTGGCCTTGGAGGCCTCACTGAGCATTCCGGAGGCATGGAAGGGTCAGTCCCACAGCTGGGCTGAGGAGCAGCCAGGAGGTGGGCCATGAAGCAGGGCCTCTGGGAGGGCCTCTGCATGCAGGCGGGTGGAGCTGGGGCCTGAGGAAGGAGAAGGTGCAAGCCAGCCCCCTGGGAAAGTGGAGGTTGGAGACCAACTGGGGTGCCACCTTGCAACCCATGGGGAGTGAAGTTTAACCGGGGAAATTTGCTCCAGATGTTTTAAATGAATACACTACTAAGAGTGACATCATCTAACATGCTGGAGAGTAAGTAGCATCAATAAATAGGAGACACATTTTTACTCAGGCCAGTGTTGGGTGTGTGGGCTCATGGCTGGGCTCACAGCTCAGCTGCCTCCGGTGCAGCCTCCAGGCAGCGCCCAGCACACTTAACACGTGTGGTGCAGGCAGGAGTGGTTTTACTGCTTGTTCACAATCCCTGTGCTATCTTGGTTTTGCCAAATTCCAAGAGAAGTTGGAAATCGGGATTTGCATACAAAGCCAGTCAGTTCTAAAAGGCAACTTAGGTTTTAGGTAAAACCATTTTATGGGTGATATAAATGGGTAAGAATGAGAGGTACATGGGTCCGGGTGCGGTGGCTCACGCCTGTAATTCCAGCACTTTGGGAGGCCAAGGCAGGCAGATTACCTGAAGTCAGGAGTTCGAGACCAGCCTGGCCAACATGGTGAAACCTGCCTCTACTAAAAATTACAAAATTAGCCGGGCATGGTGGCACACACCCGTAATCCCAGGTACTTGGGAGGCTGAGGCGGGAGAATTGCTTGAGCCCAGGAGATGGAGGTTGCAGTGAGCCAAGATTAAGCCACTGCACTCCAGCCTGGCCGACGGAGAGAGACTCTGTCTCAAAAAAAAAAAAAAAAATGAGAGGCACACAGGGCTATGAGTCTGGGATTAGCGTCCCTGAGGGCCTTGGGGAAGACCCTGCCAGCCCTAGCCCTACACCACGCAACGTTCCACGTCCCCTTCATTCCTCTCCCGCTTGCAAACTGTCTTCCCTATGAGGCAAAAGCTTCCTTAAGACTATCGCGGCTGGGTGCGGTGGCTCATGCCAGTAGTCCCAGCTTGAAGCAGAAGGATTGCCGCTTGACTCCAGAAGTTCAAGATCAGCCTGGACAACATAGCAAGACCCACCCCGCATCCCCCAGTCTCTACAAAAAATTTAAAAATTAGCCAGGCAAGGTGGTGTGTGTCTGTAGTCCTAGCTGCTCAGGAAGCTAACGCGGAAAGATCGCCTGAGCCCAGGATAAACTTACCTGTGTTTATCTTTCAGGATGCTTAAATGGCAGAGGCCAAGCCCAGACTCCAGATGGACATGCGGATAAGGCCCTGCTGCGGCAGATGGAAGGCATTTACGCTGACATCCCTGTGCGGCGTCCAGAGTCCAGTGCACACATGCAGGAGCTGTACCAGGAGTGGCTGGAGGGGATCAACTCCCCCAAAGCCCGAGAGGTGCTGCACACCACATACCAGAGCCAGGAGCGTGGCGCACACAGCCTGGACATCAAGTGGTGAAGTCAGGCCAGGGCCTTCCAGCTGCTCTTGGGGCCAGAGCTACTCTCAGTAGAGGGAGGGGCTGCCTTGAGTGGAGTATTAAAGACACTTAAGAAAACTGCTCAATGGGTTACTTTGGTTTCTCAGAGTTCCCTGCTATCCCGTTTATTGGAGGCCCCTCAGGCAGTTTCATGTGGTGCTATCTTCATAATAGGTGTGGGATTGGAACTTTTTTTTTTTTTTTTGAGGCGGAGTCTGTCGCCCAGGCTGGAATGCAATGGCGCCATCTCAGCTCACTGCAACCTCTGCTTCCCGGGTTCAAGCGATTTCTCCTGCCCCAGCCTTCCGAGTAGCTGGGACTACAGTCGCACACCGCCGTGCCCAGCTAGTTTTTGTATTTTTAGTAGAGATGGGGTTTCACTATGTTGGCCAGGCTGGTCTTGAACTCCTGACCTCCTGATCCACCCGCCTTGGCCTCCCAAAGTGCCAGGATTGCAGGCGTGAGCCACCGTGCCCGGCAGATTGGAACGTTTTAACATGAAAGGAGCACTTCCCCGATTTATCCCTTTATCCTAAGATTGTGAAAAAATCCCAAAGAGTGAGAATGGAGACAGATTACTGTATTTTAGGTGTTAAAAAAAATTCCAGAAAGTGTCCTGTGACGAGCTAAGACCCCCAGAGGTGGTAACACACATGCCTCGGAGGTGATTTGATGTGGGAATGAGGGCAGAGGCGGGGCAGCTGTGCCTGTGGCCCTGGGGTTGTTAGGGCAGGCAGTCCACAGTCCCAGATTCCTGCCCATTTTGGCTCTTTTACCCACTCATATTTTCCTTGAAAATGTTTTTGACAGAACATTAATTGTCAGCCTTTTAGACTCAGGAGACTCATACACAAATCTGAATTTCCAGCTTTTCTTAGAAAAACTAGTTTCTGACAACACTAGGCCCCATTCCTCACAGCCAGTCACCACCCTCCTCCCATTCCTCACAGCCAGTCACCACCCTCCTGGACCACACTCAGGGCCCTGGAGGCCTGGCGACCCAGGCCCCAGCTTAAACTTGTACATTCAGTCTTCCAGTTAGACTTGCATTGCGGCAAGGGAAGGGCCTGACAAAGGTGGCAGACACGAGAGTGGAAAATTGAGAAGGCTGCCCGCACAAGCTGGGTGGGTGCGGGCGAGCCCCAGCTCCTCAGCACTGTCATGAGGTGGGAGTCGGGTAAAGGCTCTGTCCGACCCTGAGGGGTTGAGGATGCTCGGGTGGTCCAGCCTCTCGCAGAACACTTCCCCGTCACCCTTGGCAGACAGGTTTCTTCTCACACACAGCCCTGGCCCATCCACCCGCCATGCAGCCCCCTGTGCTCAGGGTGATGGAGCCCCCTCCATTCTGGCACGGCACTGCGGGCATGAGCTTGCCTTAAAAAGAAAGGAGAGGCTGGGCATGGCAGCTCTTGCCCTATAATCCCAGCACACTGGGAGGCCACGGCGAGAGGAGTGCTTGAGTTCAGGAGTTTCTACATGGTGAGACTCCGTCTCGACAAATTTTTTTTTTTTTTTTTTTTTTTGAGACAGAGCCTCAGTTTGTCACCCAGGCTGGAATGCAGTGGCGCGATCTCGGCTCACAGCAACCTCCACCTCCTGGGTTCGAGCGATTCTCCTGTCTCAGCCTCTGGAGCAGCTGGGCTCACAGGCGCATACCACTGCGCCCGGATATTTTTTGTATTTTTAGTTGAGACGGGGTTTCGCCATGTTGATCAGGCTGGAACTTCTGACCTCAGGTGATCCGACCACCTCAGTCTCCCAAAGTGTTGGGATTACCGGCGGGAGCCACTGCACCTGGCAAAAAAAAAATTTTTTAAAAGGAGAAAGCAGTTTAACCATGGACAGTGAAACAGAGCTGGCAGACACCTGAAAATCCGCGGAACTGCGCAGCTGCACCCTAGGGCTCATCCAGGAGAAGAGAGATGTCAGTGTGGCCGGAGGTGTCCTGAAGCACTGGGATTGGGTTAACTCGACTGGTGGCCTTCCCAGCCCTCCGTGCTGCAGAGCCTCTGTACGCTCGGCTGCCTTCATCTCACTCTGTGCTGTGCCTGTGCACCTGTCCTGTGGATAACTGCGTATATTGTGTTCCATTGCCTGTCTTGCTGGATGACTGCGTATATCATGTTCAGTTGTGTATTTGTTTTGCTTTCAGTCTGTATACAGTTGGGTTTCCAACCTCTGATTCTGGAATAAACAGTTGCAGCATGTCTGAGTGAACGGTTGAGTGAGCCTAGCCACCTGCTGCCCCAGCAGGGCCACATCTTGTGGTGCATTGCCGTCCTCACCACGGCCACGCCAGGTGGCCTCGCCTGTGCTTCCTGAGCTGCCACCTGGTGTGGAGTCAGGAGAGTCCTCTGTCTTCCTCCAGGAAGATGCTCACCAGGCCCAGAGCACCAGGAGGCGGCAGAGGGCCACCCTGCTACAGTGAAGAAATCACCTCCCGCAGTAACCACTGCACAGGGCACCACAGCTGGCCTGCCATGAAGCCATCCCTGCAGGTCGTGTGGGGCGGCCAGGCTGAGGGACTGGGCACCAACATGAGATGATGGGGTCCCCGTGCCTGCTGGTGGGTTATAGCTATGGGGACCGTGTGCATTTTGTTCTGCACAGGCGAAAAGTGGCGAGAGTTCCTTCATTATAACGGGAACGCTATTAGCGGCCAGACCAAGGCGCCTAGATGTGGTGCGAGGCAGCACGCTGGTCGGGGAGGATGGATGGTGTGCCCGGCCCGTGCCCGCTGGTGAGCCAGGCTGGTCCTGGTGCGAGGCAGCACACTGGTCGGGGAGGATGGATGGTGTGCCCGGCCCGTGCCCGCTGGTGAGCCAGGCTGGTCCGGGGGGATGGTGTGCCCAGCCCATGCCCGCTAGTGAGCCAGGCTGGTCCTGGCGTGAGGAGGAGGAGGAGAAGATGAGCCCTGGTGGCATTCCGTGCTGGCACCACCATGTAGGAACACGGCCATGTGTGCTCTGGTGCTGCTGTGTACTGCAGGGGCCCGAACATGTCTGATCTGATAAACATGTGTTACCGTCCCAGTGAATAGATCTGCTCTTCGGTGCCTGTGGTCTGAGCAGCAAAGCCCAGATTTCTCAATTCCATTTCCACCTGTCCTGAGAGCTTATACTTGTTGCAGCCAGTGTAGACTGTCCACACTGGTCCTTCCTTAGTGTTGCTGGAGTTGCAAACAGGCTCATCCACTGTGCCCGCCTGTTGGTTTGCCGCTTGCCTGGGGTGTGGATCTAGGGTGAACCCTTGGGTGTGTGCTGGCTTTGAGGGTGTCCCATGGCCTCATCTGCGGGCCCAGAGCTGAGCAACTGAGGCGTTTGGACACATGGCCTCCCACAGTCGTGTGACCTTCACGCTGAGTCTAGACCAGAGATGTCAGAGGAGGGAACGGTGGCCCAGGCAGGGCTGACTTGCCAAGGCCACTTCGCCTCTAGATGGGGCCCGGTGTTGATGTTTCCACTGCAAACAGAGCATCTGTGTAAAGCAGATCAACCCTCAACTCATGGTGAGGAGCCCTCAGTCGGCCGCTGCAGAGGGCGAGCTGTGGGTTTTGGGTAGAGGCCGGCTCTGCTTTCTGAGGAGGAGCCTTGTGTTCTGAAATCAAGGAGAGCAGGTGCCAGGGCTGAATGTTTCAAAGCTGAAATGCAAATTGTCCGATAGGCAAAGGTTTTTATTAAGTATTCAGCACAGTAAGAAGAGGCTGCTGGCTGGAGTGCAGTTTGGCAGTAACACCCCAACTTGATAAAAGTCGTATAGCTCACGCCTGTAATCCCAGCACTTTGGGAGGCCAAGACGGGCGGATCACAAGGTCAGGAGATCGAGACCATCCTGGCTAACATGGTGAAACCCCGTCTCTACTGAAAACATGAAACATTAGCTGGGCGTAGTGGCGGGCGCCTGTAGTCCCAGCTACTCGGGAGGCTGAGGCAGGAGAATGGCGTGAACCCGGGAGGCAGAGCTTGCAGTGAGCCGAGATCCGGCCACTGCACTCCAGCCTGGGCAACAGAGCAAGACTCCATCTCAAAAAAAAAAAAAAAAAGGTCGTATAGCTTAGCTGTTAGGAACTGTCCCTGGAGCAGTCCACCTCACAGGTGCCCAGTGCGCAGGACCTGGAGGATGTCTGTTCTACGTCTGCATTTGCTGTAAACAAGCTGCAACAGCGAACTAAAAGCCCACCGGGGCAAGTGTCAGGACATCCAAAGCTGGGGTTCTAGGAGTGGTTAAAGTACAAAATGGATGTTTATGTCCTGACATGGACTTTTTTTTTTTTTTCTTCGAGACAGGGTCTGGCCCCGTCACCCAGGTTGGAGTACAGTGGCACCATCATGGCTCACTGCAGACTCAACCTCTCAGACTCAATCAATCCTCCCACTTCAGCCTCCTGAGTAGTTGGGACTGCAGGCATGCGCCGCTACTCCCAGCTAATTTTTTGTACTTTCTGTGGAGACAGGGTTTTGCCATGTTGCCCAGGTTGGTCTGGAACTCCTGGACTCAAGTGATCTTCTCCCTTGAGCCTCCCAAAAGTACTGGGATTACATGCGTGAGCCACCGCACCAGCCTGGTTTGAAATTTGATTAGAATAAGAAGGAAAACCTGCAAGGCAGAGTGACAGACACGGCATCTGCATGGTGAGTGTGGACGAGTGGCAGTGGAATTGGGAGGAGGGACTGGAGCGGGAGCAGTGGCTGCTAACCACTGCCAACACTTCGCCTCCTCTCTGATGCCCCTAAGCCTTCCTCTCTCATCGATCTTGGCAGAATCCTCCTGTTCCTCTGTCTTCGGCTTTAGCCACCATCAGGGTGTCTGTCCTGCAATTTCCCCCCTCCTTTTTGCCCTGTCATGGAAAGACCATGTAGCAGCCGGCAGTCCTTCCCCACTCCAGGCCCAGAGCACAGTGTTTGCAACTGTCCTGGGCTCTGGTACCTGAGGAGTCTGTCCCTGAGCCAGTCTGGACACAGACAGCCAGGCAGCAGCACGGGCACTTTGGGATGTCAGTGCCATCCTCATGGGTACTGTGTCCACGTGGGATGCCGGGGCCTGGTGGTGGGATGTACGGGGAGTACTGCGGCTGCATTTCTC